AATAGGATTACGCCACGTGTCAAAATGACAAGGCATGCCCAGTCACACTGAAAGGCCAATGAAATCGCGCCACGTGTGCAAGTGACGTGTTCTGGCCAATCAAATGCGGACATGTCACACTTCAATTTGATTGGTCGGAAAGAGTTTGTTCTTATCACAACTCTTCCCTTCCACAACTATAAATAGGGGTCTTCATAACTCAGAAAAGACACCAGAAGTTATAACAAGAAGCAAGAGAGAGCTCGTGGATCAAACATCGCAAATTTCTCCACAAGTTTCAAGCTTCAAGCAATCAAGTTCAAGTTCAAGTTCAAGCAATCAAGTTCAAGTTCAAGAAATCAAGTTCAAGAACGAAGAACAGATCAAGTATTCAAGCTCAAGAACGAAGAACAATTCAAGTATTCAAGATCAAGAACGAAGTCAAATCAAATACAAGGCGTTCAAGATCAAGACTACTTGTTCGTGATAAAATTCGTGGCAACAATCAAAGTGTTCGCGACGGATAAATCAAATTTAAATTCAAGATCAAGCTCAAAGGCCCTTGAATTTATACTAGAAAAGTAGAATCAGAGGAATCATAGAGATTGTACACTCAAATATTCGAAATCAAATACTACGATTGTTGCGATATTTTCGGTCTTGATTTTATTTTCTCGACGCAAATTTATTGTCTACAACCATATGAGTAGTTCCAGAGAATTAGGACTCATCTATCTGTTTTCTCCTAATTAATTATTTGAGAGAACTTGTACGAGCTTTAACCATAAAGAAGCCAACCCCCCCTCCCCCCTACCCCCCCCCCCCCCACCCAATGCTTTGAATTCTCTTTTATCACTGGGTTGGAATTTAAAATAGTGATATCCTTTCCTGGTTTATTTCCGCTCTATAATAAAAATGCTTAAATATTATTAAGTAGGCAATAGTGGAGTAACAAATTTTAATAGGGGGATTAATCAAGAAAATGGCTGTCTATGGATAATAAAAAGAACAAAATATATAGATAGTGATGCCCCCACGCAGGATCGAACTACGGACCTTCAGTTTACAAGACTGACGCTCTACCACTGAGCTATAGGGGCTTATGTACGAGGACAAAATCTCATTATATTTATTTTACGGCTAACCAAACTATATGGGCGCTTGATCATTAAGGAAAGTCCGCCTGCTTAGAAAGGCCAAATATGTAGCAGATTCGTAGGATTAGCATCCTCGTGGATATATCGTTTACTTGAGCGGACAAATTTGAATGTCTTTCTGGAATATTAATTAATTATTTCAAATTTTTATCCTGATTGATGTAGTTCAGTTAGATACTACACTAGCTTGCTCTATAGGTTTTGAAATTTGAAAGCCAGACATGCTTACACTTTATGGATATTAATTAGCAATGCACATTGAAACCTGATGGTGCAGTTGGACAGAGAGGCCAGTGCCGGATGCAGCCTTATGTCATTGAACCAGTACTTTCGATTATGCTAAGAATTTACTAAGATTACAACAAATAGTAAATCTAAACTCATAATTTTAAAAGTATAATAGCTTCCGTGCTAAGAATTTTAAATTTGAACAATAGAGTTTCTAACTATGGATTCTCCTATGAGAGGGGCTACCAAAGAAACATCAAAACATAAGCAAAAAGAAGAACAAACTGTTTACCCTCAAAAACGGATAACAATTAAATTTATAAGTGGTTTTAAGGATACACGGATTAATTCGATACAAAGCTATAAATTAAGTCAATATTGCACAAAAAGATAGAATAAATTCAAACCACACAAGTGGGATAGTTCCAGCCTTAGTGAAATAGTCACCCTCAAACCGGGCTCACCACGGCCAGCACTAATGAACAAGAGAAAGAGTTAATAACAGAGAAAATAATAATATATTGCTTTGGAATGCATGTTACAATGTCCTTCTTGAATTATCAGACCCCTTTATATAGTAGGAGAGTCCTACTTTAGGTAGAACTTTATAAAAGATTAAAATTTCTGATTAATTGATTGTCGGTTCCTCATCGATACGTGCCGAGATCCCCGCCGTGATATCCGGCCGGTCACGGATATTTCGGCCTTCTGTTGGCTATGCTTGATTGTCCGACAATATTCTTCGAAGTCGTTCGAGGCTAGGACCGATTCCGGAATCATGACCTTGATATTCCTGAGGGCAGGCGTCATCCCCCTGGATTCTGGCTCGATGGGACTTTTAGCTCGATTTCGGTCCCTCGCCACCATGTCTCAAGCTTGGCTTATCTTGTCGGAGGCCGGGGTGTGAGCTTGGTTTTACCCGTATACACAAACAATGGCGCTGTGGTATTTGTGAGTTGTGACAATTGTGTTGCTAAGAGTATAAAGTACCTTATTCATGCTATTGTTCTCTCCACCATCCATCAAAGTAATCTCTCTGGTTCTGGTTGGGGTTGAACGAAGGCAATTCATTCTAAATTCACTGACAAAAGTTATAGGAATTCAACATTTTAACCTATTTATGTTTGCATGATGAGTCACATTAACGGACCAAATGGGACTGAAAGTTTCCTGTGTGAAATACCATTATAAGCCTTTTCAAGGTAAAGCTACGTGCTGCTCGCAAATTTAAAACTGGCAGCAGAAAATATTAGTGAAATGGAATCATGTAAAGTTTTCTTTTTGGGGGGTTAAACACCCCACGATGGGAGCTGATATCATTATCTAGGCAAATAGAGTTTACAACATAGGCCATTTGCCTTCAAAAGACGGATCGGAGTATCTATTACCTTCCAGTCAGACTATATTAACTCACAAAAAAGTTAACCTTATCATATCTAATTCTAATACTAGGAAGCTGCCACTTGTCTAGCTGGAAAGATCCTTTCGCCATCCTTGGAAGCTGCTGCCAGTTCAAGATAAAGTGAGGTTTTGTGCTATCTGCTGCATATTTTGCCAAGCGATCAACCACCTGATTGGCTTCTCAATGTGTCATTGTGAAATTCACTTGGTGTAAGATCGGGGAAGTATCTTTAATTGCTTCTTTCAACTTAAGATTGTTGGTTTTCCCGTCCACTAACATATTAGCAATGAGTAGTGAATCCAGTTCAAGAATGCAATCCCAATAATCATTATCCATATTGCATACACCATTCCAACCGAAACTTGGCTGCATAAGCTTCTGTCTGGTTATTGCTGTTGCATTTAACTGGGATTGAGTAAGCCATTATCATGTTTCCACCATTGCCATGATCATTGTTCATTTGGGGGTTGACTTCAACTTTTCAACGTTTTCATAGAGCTCATTCCAACTGTTTCCTAGAACACAAGATGGGAAGCGTAATCCTGGTATCTTACTGATGTTCCACAATATATGATGCTGCATTAGCATGTATCACATTTTCTTTGGTCTCCATATTTACTAGAACATCTATGTTTTCATATCTTCCAAAATTCACAATATGGGTAATGTGCAGAACCATCTTACGAACCCAATTTTTTGGTTTAGTTATCCACCATGCTTCTAAAACATCCCTAACAGTCCGACCACCTACTATTTCGAGTGGTGCACCGAAAGAGTACCATAGTTTTTAGCAGTTTCACTCTCTACAAATACATGACTCAAAGTCTCTACTTTATGATTGTTGCAACAAACATATCTAGAAACCATATTATTACCAAGTCTCCTAACATCATTAAAAGGCAGTTTCGTATGAACTAACCTCTAGGATAGAAAAGAAATTTTAAAGGAAAGTTTGTTATGCAATACCTTACATTTTAGGCGATCATTCTGCCTCTGTTGTGTGACAGTCTACCAGGCAGATTTGGTAGTAAAGTTACCATTAGTGCCAGGATCCCACATAGCATAATCATGTTTTGTTTGATTTTTTATCTTTACCTTCTTAATGTGTTGCATCAACTGTGTTGGTAAAACCTATGCTAGTTTTGCCTGATATGTATAAAATGTCTTACTGTAAGTTTGGTTGATCAAAACTGATTAGGGCATAATTTAGCTAATGCACCTTTACCAGTCCAATTGACCCACCAAAAGTTACTCTCTCCACCTTTTATTCTCCATATAATATTCTTTTCTGATGTTTCTATGATTTGTAGAATCTTTCTCCATGTATGAGACTGCTTCTCATTATTAGCCTTGGCCACAGGATGGACTCTGCAATAATACTTTGCTTTAAGAAATATAGCCCATAGAGATTTTTGTGCCCTGAATCTCCACCACCTATTATATGCAAAGGAATCACTGATATCTTTTCAAGTCTTCAAACTCCTATCCCCCTTCCTCCTTGGGCCAGCATAGATTTTCCCATTAACTCCAGTGAAGTTTATCTTTGTTGGCCTTCTAGCCACCACAAATTCTTGGTCTTGACGAGTTGGTCGCAGGAGAGTTCTGAATCGTGTTAGCATAAGAGATTTTTCCTGGAATCAGGGGCGGATATATGGGGCACGTGAACCCGTGGTCTCTCCGCCAAACTAGGTATTTTATGTACATATTTTTTAGAATTGGTCAAATATTATCTGCCGGCACCCATGCTCCGAAGAGACTAAATGGTGTATTTGGTTGAATGTTGAGTTATTTACCTAGAGGAGCAGGGATCAAATCTCACTTAATACTTTTTTTTTCTCCTTTCTTTAGTGGTGCACCCATGTTATAAAAATCCGCCTCTGCCTGAAATTCCACCTTGTGTCTGATTCTTGCTGTGCTTAGGGGGTCCTTTTGATGCTTAGTACGCGCCGGATTGTTGTTGTCCGGCAGCTCCATGAGGAGGAGCGTGGGTTGTACTCTCCGTTATGTATCCAAAATATTTGTCGCCTATTTCATGCGTGTGGGGCGCGTTGGTTTGTTAAGTTATCTAAACTATGTAAAGTTGGAACTTAAATCTTATTGTCAAAATCTGGACATGTGTGTGTCTGTTGGAAGATTATATGGCATAAGCTGGTAGAATTTACTAATTAGAGCATAAGTATTTTGAAGTAAATTCAGTTTGTCAAAAATACTAATATTTGGGACAGAAGGTAATATAAACTAAGAAGACCAGCCTTATCATTTCTATGACACACTCAATTGCAATCTAGAGCTCCCAGAAAAGTGAGCATTATAATTCCAGAGAGTACATACAATAATTCAATGAAATAAGACAATAAAGAAAATGGTGGTATAAGAAGCACCATTTATTTATGTGAAAATCCTGAACTTGGGAGCAGAAAGTAGTCAAGCAAAATGCATATGTAGCAACTATAGATAGTTCCCTCAATCGGTGCAGCAACGATACATGAAGAACTTATCCATTGGTCTCCCACATTCAGCACACGTTATCATTTCTGGAATGTCCACATCAAGTCCCGGAAGAATTAGGCGATTGCAGTGCTGTGGTGTGTGCAGATGAAGACAGTAATCAATGAGAGCTAACACAAATCCTTTTTCTCTTGCATCTTCTTCCCAAACATGAAAATCATCCAAAGTCTTAGTTATTACTACACTTTTAGCTCTGGCCATTTCAAATGATCCTCTGCTAATGAGTGCCCATCCTTGATCACTCCCATCAAAACTCAACATTGTTAACACTTCTTGCATAATCTTGTCATCTTTGATTGTTTTTCCTAACTGCATTTTCGAATAGAACATACTCTCTAGTCTTTTCCAAAAGTACCAAACTGACATCACATCATCCAAGCAATAACTTAGATTTTCTTTTCTTATAATGCTATTGATCCTTCGAACTCGGTCCTTGTTGCTGCTCTTTCCAACATAGATCATATGCAGATCAATGCCAGCTCTATGTGCCACTCCTTTAGCAGAAGTCGTAAATTTTTCTATCCATTCGACGTCTTCTCCTCCATATAGACAGATATACTTCCCTGCCGTCATCTGATTACCAAATTATATGTGAGACTAAGTAGAATTAAAAACAAAGGATCAAGTAGAATGAAAAATTTACCCATTCAATTATACTTTGATCAATGCCATCAACTACTAGCTCAAGTCTCCAGGACTCAATGCTCCAGAGTTCCTCTTGTTTGGCCATAGTGAATGGATAGGCCAAATTTCCCCAAATCCAAGCCATGTGGATTGCATTTTGACAAACCACTTTACCTTGTTGTGGATCTAAGGCTACAAGCATCATCTTCTTAGAGAAATGCCACCTTTCTTTGACAAACTTGATCACTGCTGGCTCTAACAAAGAAGGATGGTGCAATGTGTACCAAGGCATAAGTGCTTGTAATTCTTTAAATTTGTGTTCGTACCCTTCGTTCCATTCCCTTGATCTATCCGAAATTGGAAGCCACACTATTTCGTATTGAAGTTCTGACCTTCCCCTTGATTCATTGTAGACAGTGGCAAGTATTAATACCTCTTCTGGGGTAATATCAACATCAGATATTAGCAGCAAAACAGTCTTTCTTCTCAGCACGTCAATATTGGCCTGTGACAAGTCTTTATAATCAAGAAACATCTATATGTGTACTCCTATTTCTTAGAGAAAACGATAAGGAGATCGAATACTGAACATACCCTCGTGTGCGTAGTTCCAACTTCAAGTGGCAGTAAATCATCTTTGATGTAGATAAGTGCCTTGTTTATCTTCATGTTGTCGAATTGGGTTGTCTCGAATGAGTGTACAAGCATTTGATAATACTCGGTATGTTTCTTCTCCTCTGCATTTGACAGAAGCCCTTTAGAAAATTCCTACTAGCCATGATTTCTTAAATGCTATATCGACTAATCATCAACTCTCTGCCCTTAAAGAAGTGAAGCTTTGATATTTATTCTAATCACATTAATTCATTCATTTTTCTACCTTCTGATCTTGTGTGTTTATTATTTACTGTCTATGCAATTTCATGATTTCTTAAATACTCACGAATATGTTCATAGCAACGCTCCAATTCAGCTCTAAGGTGATCACTAATGTTGTTCAGCTTGTGCGTGGAGCTTGACATTTCCCATGTGTCTGTTGTAGTAGCTGATATGAACCTGCAATTTTACATGAATAAAATTCAGTGTTTCTCCAATTTGGCCCAAATTTATAAATAAAAAGAAAGAAGAACTTGTAGTTAATTACAAGCTTAATTTCTAAATACTAACAGTCTAAAAGAGTTGTTATACAATAATAGGTAACTATTCCTTATAAAAACCTGGAAGATAAGGCAGGCGACCTGCTACAACAGATTAAATTACAGTGTATTGAAAAATTATTTACACGATTAACGTAAATCGGTTAATTAAACGCATAGTAGGCTTACTCATAACTCATGCCAAGAAGGCTAGTGACCTGGGAAGCACAAGCAACAATGCTTTTTATGGTCCAATAGACTGCAGTAGGGAAGTAGGCAATAGCAACAGACATAGGTGGTTGATCTTCAGAGATGTACTGAGATGGAAGCCTCTTGATTTCAATGATGCATTTGGTTATGTCCAAAATAGCTTTGAGGAGGTTGTTGATGGCATCGAATCGCGATTTGAGAGCAGCAGCATGTTCAATTATATCAGGTAGCTGTTTCAACAGAGCCACCATTTTCGCCAAAGGGTGAGTAGCAAATTTCTGAGTTACCAACCAGAATTCTCCATAGATTATGGAAAATGATGCCAAGGTTAAGACTAGTTTTGTATCCCATTGATAACTAGAGAGCATCCCTAAGATTTCCATTGTTGTTGCATGGGCATCCCCTCCTCCTGAGAACTTGCATGTCAACTGAAAATAATGTTAAAGCCAAAAATTAAAAATAAAAATAAATATACTAATGAGTTTAAGTTATATGCAGTGACAATATAAAAAAATGTTTACACACCCATGTCACTTACAAGGTAAATACAAGTGGGTAATCTAGTATAAATGACGACTAACTACACTAGTATGGCAATAAGTCGATACATTCTCAGCGTATTTAACAGTAAAATTGCACTTTTTTTTTGGGAGGACTACAGACTACTACGAAAGAGGAGAGTATAACCTGGCAGGAGACTTTGTGCATGATATAAGCCAATCCTTCAAGATGGAAGCCGTCAAAGGCAAATGAGGCGTTCTCTTCTAGTTTTGAGGTTTCCATGCTTTCACGATCAGTACTATCCTGATAGTATATATAACAATAACAGCAAAAGTGAGTGTTGCTATCTATAATAAGAATAAAAAATGTAGGTAATTAAACCTTGTGGTTATATATATATATTAATGTGCATTGGTCGTGTAAACATTTTTCCTAATGGAAATAATACCTGTAAAGCGCCATGGATATGTTGAAAAATCCCCTCAATGACTTGAAGGATGATGTCCACATCGACTTCACGACCATTGGGAGAATGAGTATTCAGGATTTTCTTGGACATTGCATGATCATCAGACATTGAGAAAACTGGACGTTCACGCCTACTTACTGGCTGAGGCCTAGCTGCTAAAGAATGACTACTAGCCATTTTTTAGTTGCAACAATTAGAAAGAAAATAGTAGTGAGTTTAATTTGCTGATAATCGTCACTAAGACATGCAAGCTATAAATAGTGATGAAAAATTAATGAATCAAGTACCTTGCTTGTAAGCGAGGGAGGAATCTGTCAACAGGAGGTTCAAAATTGGATAAGAAATTATTAGTTATACATGGTGGTGGTCCCTTGGAAATTTCTTTACAGTGTTAAAGTAGAGAATATATATGTTTTTGCTATCCATATTTTTAGTAATCTGATTGTTTTATTAAATCTTGATTACCTAAAGATTTTTGAATCTATGATAAGGATGTGCATTGATTGCTTGTCGCACTTAATAAGGTTTCAATTCGACTTATGCCATCAAACTTGGATTGAACTGTAAGAACTTCTATGTTATAATATAAAATGCTAGATGCTGTAACTTCAAACTTTAAAAAGAATAATAACAATGAGTGGAAAGAGGAAGTAATATAACATATGCAAAGACTGCAATCTCACCTCAGCCCTCAGCAAACCAACTCACTATATATTTCACTGCATGCAGTGACAAAAAAGGAAGCGAAAGTGAGAGATGGTTACTTGAAGGGAATGCCAAATGTGAATTTCATCTTTTGCTTTACTGAGAAAAATGCTAAAGCTGAATTATATATGAAAATCCAACTTTCTTTTACGAGAAGAGTACGAACTTGAATAAAGGATAGCCGAATACGAATTCATCTTTTGCTTTATCGGGGGAAAGACTGCAAAAACTAATAAGTACTGATTATAAAAATTCAACTTTCTCCCATGTACAGCTGGTACTGATGTCCTTTTAATTTGTAGACTTATAATGATATAATTTCTTTAAAATAAATGTTCTCTCTCATAGTTTTAATTATACTAACGGAGTATATATTTAAACTCACAAATTTATCATGATTAAGTAATAATTTGAACAAACAATATATATTAACTAAATATAATTAAGTTCCACTATTATACAAGAGACACATTTCATGCACTTATAATTGGTATGATAATAGGGGTAAAAGCGAGTTTTAAACAAATACTCATGCAACTTAGTTTTATTACCTGACCATGCCTATTTTCCCCATAGCTAAACTTTTTTAACTTCTAGTGGCCTTGTTCCTTGTAAGTACGTTTTTCTTTCATTAACTGCCGAAAGAAAATATGCATTTCTGTTATCTTAACTCTTGTTTTGACCTAACATAATTATTTAGGAGAACTTAAATTCTTGTTGCTCAAGATCTACTATTCATAAGTACTAGGTTCATTCTTTCTTCCCTTGATCGTTTTCTTTTTTCCCTAACAGGAAGGATAAATTATTTCTGAAAAGTAGGAAACTTGGTAAGTGTGTCACAATCCGAAACCACCTTAAGATCGTGATAGCGCCTAAACGAATTTGCCAAGCAAGCTAACTCAAATTCCACAAAAAAGTTCAATTTTCTTAATTAATATTAAAATAGCATAAATAGAGACAGTAATAATCCAAAACAGTAAAAAAATTTGATAAAATCATAATACGGCCTAAACACGGCCAACATCGCACAATCCCAAGACTAGGTGGTACAAGTACATGAGCTACTACGATCAGAGAATGTGTCTAAATATATAACCAATTGTCTGAAATACAAATAGACAGGAATAAGACTAGAACGGGGACTCGAGAACTACAAAATAAATTCATGAAGTGCAGCTCACCCCGAGTCTCTGTGTGAACTCCAAGCTCAGTCCGAAACTCTACTAGGACCTACCAGAGGATCTGCACAAAAACATGTGCATAAGCGTAGTATGAGTACATCACAATCAGTACCCAGTAAGTAAAGACTACCCCGTGAAGTAGTGATGAGGTTCAAGTCATATGATACTCATTAGTTAAATAACTTGTTCGATAAATCAATTACTGGAGAAATAATATGGAGTGGAAAACAATATCAACAAATCATCAAATAAAAGAGAAGGCATATAAAATCGCATGACAAATGAAATTTCACAATTTATGAAAACACAACACAAAGTTTCAATGAAAACGAGTATAGGATTAACATATTGTGAGCACGTGATTTTTGCCCTATATGAATTACTCCCATAAATTCAAAACAAAATAATTTTTTCATTATTTGCAATTTTGTGAATCTTTGTGGCATTTTCTGTCGAGTGTTTGCATTTGTCTGTGCATGTTAATTAATAAAAAATACAAAAAATGTGTTGCATGTGCATTTAGGATTTAACTGTGCATTTTAGGAATTAACCAGCAATTAAAAAAGGAAAATCACAAAAAATAGTTTATTTTACATTTTTTTTAGTTTTAACCTTGATTTTGAGTAGTTTTTCTTTTAACTAATTGTGATAATTATCATGTAGGTTTAATTAGTATTTTTTTAGGTTAATTAGGTTCTGGAAATTAATTTAGACTTTTATTTCATTTTGGAAAAAAGAAGAAAAAGAATTTTTTGAAGAAATGAAAATAAAAGAGGAAAAAGCAGGCTAGGCTACTTTGTTAAATTGCACAGGCCCAAATCCTTGCACCCGGTCAAAACAAACCCATCCCAGCCCAATTCCACGCCCTGACCCGCCACCCAAATCGGCCCAATCCCCTTACCCGGTCTCCATTAACTCCAAACGACCCCGTTTCCCCTCCATTCGATCCCAGCCGTCGAGGATCTTTGATCCAACGGCCCTGAAGCTGGGGTCACTTAAGATATAAGTGTCCAAACGCCCCCCTACCCCCATCTCTCATCTCTCTCACCTTAATAGAGACCCCCCCCTCCTCCCCTATCGCTGTCGTCCGCCACCGCCGGAAATCGCCCCACGGCAGTGGTCGGTGGCCAATCCCCACCAAATTAACACCACGAAATCCCCTCAACCCCCTCATTTCAAAGACCCAACCCATGTCTTTCAACTCCCCCTGTATCTCTTAAAATTTTAGAAACCCTAGCACCGCCCTAACTTTCTCCGGTGGCGGCGCCGACCTCAAACCTCACCAAAATAACACCCTAGAGCCCCCTTGCCTCCCTCATGATAAATCCTACACCAGTTTCCCTCGAACACCCCTGAGACCTCTCGAATCTGGTTTTGAAAGACGAACCCTAAAATCCAAAAATCCCAAATCGTCGAGTGTTTGAAATTGGAGGTTGAAATTGGCTTCAGTTGTGTGTTTTCGTTTGAGAACACACGATTGAGGCCCATTTCGGCCAAGAATAGAAGGTTCGAGTTGTGAATTCAAGGCTTGTTCGGACTGTTTCCTTAGGTATTTTACCTTCGTTTGCCTTCTTTCATTTTTCTTTTTCCTTTTGTTTTATCAGTCGTCACCTCCTCACCTCATCTGTTCCGGATTATTTGTTTTTCAGTTTTCAAATCTTCTCTGCTTTATCTTTTCTNAATACATTTCAAGTTTAGCAATCAGGCGCCCACCTGGAGAGCACGGGAATACAATTCAAGTCAGCAGTCAGGCGCCCACCTGGAGAGCACGGGAATACATTTCAAGTTTAGCAATCAGGCGCCCACCTAGAGAGAACGGGAATACAATTCAAGTCAGTAGTCAGGAGCCCACCTGGAGAACAGGGAATACATTTCAAGTTTAGCAGTCAGGCGCCCACCTGGAGAGCACGGGAATACAATTCAAGTTCAGCAGTCAGGAGCCCACCTGGAGAGCATGGGAATACAATTCAAGTTCAGCAGTCAGGAGCCCACCCGAAGAGCACGGGAATACAGTTCAAGTTCAGCAGTCAGGCGTCCACCTGGAGAAAGGGAAAGCATCTCAAAATACAGTTCAAGTTCAGCAATCAGGCGTCCACCTGGAGAAAAGGAAAAGCATCTCAAAATACAGTTCAAGTCCAGCAATCAGGCGTCCACCTGGAGAAAAGGAAAGCGTCTCAGAATGTAGTTCAAGTCCAGCAATCAGGCGTCCTCCTGGAGAGAGGGAAAACATCTCAGATTATAATTCAAGTCGACCACAAAGGAATTTCACCGGGAGAATACAAGTCAGCATGGCAACAAGAGCTGCAGGATCAAGCTTGAAGATATAGATAGGTTTTGTAATTCATAGATCATAGTTTAGTATAGCCTCTTTTTATTTTGTCATGGTGTAATAAAGGATTCAGTAAGAAGTAGCGGCAGCAGCAGAAACAGTAAAATCACAGCTTCATGGTAGTCCCTAGCTACCAAACATTCCTGAACTACACTGACCTGATTCCTTTTTAGCCAAGGATATGTAGGCAACCTCAGAAGCAGGGTGCGGTCAAATCTTTCAAAAAATGCTTCTCACGGAGTATTCAAACGGGCAAAAACGCGTATACGCTCACTTTATCTTTGCACGAAAACTCTTCGTGTTTCCGAGCAAAGAGGGGGAGCTGTGAGCACGTGATTTTTTCCCTATATTAATTACTCCCATAAATTCAAAACAAAATAATTTTTTCATTATTTGCAATTTTGTGAATCTTTGTGGCATTATCTGTCGAGTTTTTGCATTTGTCTGTGCATGTTAATTAATGAAAAATACAAAAAATGTGTAGCATGTGCATTTAGGATTTAACTGTGCATTTTAGGAATTAACCAGCAATTAAAAAAGGAAAATCACAAAAAATAGTTTATTTTACTTTTTTTTAGTTTTAACCTTGATTTTGAGTAGTTTTTCTTTTAATTTATTTTTAATTAATTGTGATAATTATCATTTAGGTTTAATTAGTGTTTTTTTAGGTTAATTAGGTTCTGGGAATTAATTTAGACTTTTATTTCATTTTGAAAAAAAGAAGAAAAAGAATTTTTGGAATAAATGAAAATAAAAGAGGAAAAAGCAGGCTGGGCTGCTTTGTTAAATTGCACAGGCCCAAATCCTTGCACCCGGTCAAAACAAACCCATCCCAGCCCAATTCCACGCCCTGACCCGCCACCCAAACCGGCCCAATCCCCTTACCCGGTCTCCATTAACTCCAAACGACCCCGTTTCCCCCTCCATTCGATCCCAGCCGTCGAGGATCTTTGATCCAACGGCCCTGAAGCTGGGGTCACTTAAGATATAAGTGTCCAAACGCCCCTC